AGTTCCTCTTATGGGCATCAACATGTTCTATTTGAATGCATCTTCAAACTCTCCATGGTGATGTTTTCCCTAAAGGTGTCCCCTAAAGGTTAGGTTTTTATTGTTCCTCTATATAACCATATAGGCAGGCTATTGGCTAGCATCATGGTGTCAGTAAAAACCCACTCATATGAGTTTTTATCATTGTTAAAATTCTTCCATGACTGCTAGGAAAACAGCATTTTATTTACACACCCTGTCTTCATTAGTGTTTTATTGCTAGGATAAGATACCATGACCACAGCAACTCTTATAAAGGAGAGCATTTAATTGGGGTTGGCTTACAGTTCAGAAGTTTAGTTTATCGTCAGCATTGGTGGGAAGCATGGTGGCATGTAAGCAGATGTGGTGCTGAGAAGGAACCAAGAGTTCTACATCTGGATAAGCAGGCAACAGGAAGAGAGTGTGAGCTACTGGGTCTGGTTTGAGCTTTGAAACCTGAAAGCCCACCACCAGAGACATACTTCCTCCAACAAGGCCACATCTCCCAATAGTGCCACTCCCATTGAACCTATGGGGGCCATTTTCATTCCACATACCCAGACCTGTTTTTCCTTTCTTCAAACACAGTGATAGCAATGGGTCTCCAATCAGGATGCTATCCAATAGTCTTAGAACTACTAAGTATAAGTATACAACTTTACTGGTCAGTTGAGTTTTATGTATAAGGCACTATCCATACAATACAATCTAGCACTATTTTACATGATTCCAGAATCAGTTCTAAGGGAAAAGAGCCTTCCTGGGAAGCCTACTAAGCAAGTATGTGTTATGAGTAGTTTTTCCCCTGCTGGTCTGGTCCCACTGCCATGCCAGCCCCAAATATCACACAGAGACACTGTATTAGATATAATTCTGTTGGCCAGTTACTAGCATTTCTTATTGGCTAGCTCTGTCTTAAATATTATATTTTTATTATTATATATTATATATAATATTAAACATTATATATATAATTAAATATTAACCCATTTCTATTAATTTAAGTATTTTCACGGGGTCTCATCTTACTGGAGAGAGGGCCCAGACCTCTGTTCTCTCCAGTCTCTACATGCTGATTCCTCCCTCCTTCTTCCTCTCTCCACCTACTCTCCTAGTCCCACCTATCTTGCTTTCCTATTGGCCAACAGTGTTTTAGTCAGTAACCAATACAAGAAACATATTTGTAAAATGACATCTCCCATCACGTATATAATCTTTCAGTTCCATATTCCTACTGCAACACATTAAGCAATTAGGATGTCCACACAAGATTTGTCTTTTGAATATGCTTGTCTCATTCACACAAACGTTCCTTATATTATCTTGCTAATAAGAATGTTAAACAGAGCTGGGCAGTGGTGGCACACCCCTTTGATCCCAGCACTAGGGAGGCAGAGGCAGGTGGATTTCTGTGAGCTTAAGGCCAGCTTACTCTACAGAGCAAGTGCACACAGAGAAACCCTGTCTCAGAAAAAAAAAAAAAAAAAAAAAAAAAGTTAAACAGACATCTCACCACCAAACAGGGAACAGTTAGTTGGGGACAAAACACTACTTCAGGGATCTTCAATGAAGGAGCCTTGGCAGTCTCAACCTGTGTCCATCCTGGGAGGATGGTGTTGGTGGATGTCCAGGATACTGAATAGCCAGCATGTGTGAGCTCAGCAACGGTGCAGCAAGTACAAACGTCATCAAAGTCAGGACCACACACAGCGGCGAGTTAAGCCTCCTTACCAATGAGTATCAACACATAAGACAGGAAACCATGTTTGGGGAATATGGCAATGTGGTCCTAGGGGCCAGTTTAAAAGTTCAATTTTTCTACCATGTCAATTGGTTGTGGCTGTACTAACATGTCAACACCACCTTGGGGTTAGTTAATTAGCATATTAAGACCTGTTTTGGAGCTTTGCTTCAATCTAAGCTGCCTGGTGGCAGGTTCATTAGCACAACAGAGCTTGCCTGGGGCAGAGCGGAAGGCAGGGGCGGTTGGGTAGCTCTTAGCCTATTGAGGTGCTTGGTAGCAAGCGCCTCTCTTACTGGCATTGCATTGTTCTGAATTACATAGAAATTAGTTTTCACTTATGTTTCTACCAATTCTACTTTTAAAATCTTATCACCTCTGTCTTCCTTGCAATTGAGTTCAATTTATATTGTTTAAACTTACATCTGTGTTTCCCCCTTGAACAAGCTTTAGACCTTGATGACTCTTAAAAATCCAATGGTGCTAGGACTCAAATCTGGTCGGTAAATTGTCTTCTTTCTCTAAGCTGCTTGGCCATTTGAGTCCAACTCCCTGAACCAGTGTTTTTGAAACAGAGCAAGCAAGTTTTGATTTTTAAATTTTGAGTACAGTCTTGAGGTAGGAATAAAGTCTGCCCTGTACCATTAGAAGATGGTGTTGCAAAATGCTTCCTCTTTCTTTCACCACCTTCTAGGCTATAACTTTGGCCATTTTTGGCCCTAATAGAATCAGTCAGCTTTCTCTTTTTTACTAAACTTCTGTTAAGACTACTGAATTACAATGACCTCTTTGGAGTTACTGAGATACCCAAGCTACTTTACCTAAGAGGAGCCTTAGAATAAAAGAGAACAAAAGTTCCAGGCACACAGGGTTCTCTTCTTTCCCTGGCATGAGTTAAGTCTAAAAGTAGATCAATCCTGGTCCCATCCTACTCCCCAGTAACACAAAAATTCTCACATTCTTATCACTGTGTTAGGTAAGTGGTCAGCTTTCACACTAAAGTTATCCAGGTCCCTGAAAGACCTGAAGAGCTTGGACCTTCATGCTCCCACACAGAAAGGCGACTCCCCAAATCACTCACGAGAAGTGGTCTTGATGCAAATATCGTGAGGAATTTTTATTCCAAGTGCACTGGGGTCCACAGTCATAGGACTGAGGACCTCGAGGACAGAATTGAAACAATTTTTATAGGGTTTACAACAAAGCCCACACATAGGTCACTGGGGAGGGGGTTTCACAATCAGTTTATGAAGTCAGACAGGTGGTTAGCTCATTTTCTGTTATTTTACTAGGTCAAGATTACGTACTCAAGGGCCTGTCTGCTGTAAACAGCAAGGAGTGTGACCTTGCCTATTTACTGGCAGAGGACAGGATCTGGAATTTGAGGTCTTTAGGGCTTTTTAGATAGTATTTCTAAACTTCTAGCTTCTTGTGGTCATTGGAGAGTTAGGCTGTATTTTTCTATCCTTTTCAGTGGTTAGCATAAGCTCAGATGTCTTAGGTACCATTCTGTTGCTATGAAAAGACACCATGACCAAGGGAAATTTTATAAGAAAGCATTTAACTGGGAGCTTGCTTACAGTTTCCAAGAATAATCCATTATAATTATGGTGAGAAGTGTGGTGGCAGGCAGACAGGCACGGTGCTGGAGAATTAGGTGACAGCTACATTTGGATCCTCAGGGGTGTTATGGTGGAAGAATCACCCCAGCTCCTGGCATCCACATACCAAGAGTCTGGAATGTTATGGTGGAAGTTCCCTCTCCCCCTATCTCCCTCCAAATCCTGCTGTATCTCAGAAAGCCTGCCAAATGATGACCCCCCTCCCCCAAAGATACTCAAGACCATTCCCACAAGGTATTTAAATTCCCTCCCAGAAAACAGACTCCTGGTTTTTCTGGTCTCCTCTCTAGGGGTTTGGGAGGCCATCCAGGGTCCTTGCATCCATTAAACGTATGCTTTTTCTAATTCGGTTTGATTGGGCCTGATTTGGATTGCTGCATCTGAAGAGAGGTTTATCCAGGTGCAGAAACTTTTCAAAGGGCAGATAGAGACTGGGCCTGGCATGGGCTTTTGAAAACTTAAAAAAGCTCATGACTGGTGAGTGACACAACTGTTCCAAACAAGGCCACACTTCTTCCAAAAGGCCACACCTTCTAATCATTCTCAAACAGTTCCACTCCCCATCGAGTAAGCATATATGATTCTATAGGGTCATTCTCATTTAAACCACCATGTCAGCTCAGCTATATAGGCAAAATTCATATGATGTAGATGAAAAAACAGTGACCCCAGTTTTGAGAAAGGAAGGCACTGTCTTGATATGAGCACAAGGTGAGAGGGGAATGAAAGGCATTTTGATGTGTGGGGTTCATGGTTACATGGAGGACCGAACACCCCCCCACACACAGAAGATTAGGCAATAAACTTAATACTTGGTAAGTATTAAGAACATTGAAAGAAAATAGAAGAATAAGAACAGAAAACATAACTTTTTCTGCTGCTGAGTAAAAATAAAGTAAAATCATTCTACATGAAAAGTAAGAAAAATGGGGGAAAATAGATACGATAATCAGGGTTACTACAAAGTACATTACACAATTACAGGGAGAAATGTGAATACCACTTCAGAGTATACATGAGATTAAGGTAAATAAAACAAAACAGCATAATGTGTTGAAAAAAAGAAAAGGAACAAATCCTCCCTCTCACTGTTATTTCACTTATCAACACCTCCTTCCCCTCCCGGCAAAAGCAAAACAACAACAAAAAACGAAGCCAAACCTTCTCATCTTATTACTAAACTTTCCATACAAACTTTCTTCTAAATCTTTTAAACGACTACTAATTTCATTCTCCAGATTTGTGTTCGTTTGTTTTTGAAAATCGTGTTGGTAACTAGGCTTGGAATGCCTTAGAATTCTTCTCATTAAGAGCCACGGAACTTTATTTTTCCTTCCCCAACGGCTTCGTATTCAGCGGCGCTTGTGGGTGCGAGCCTCACACTAGCAGCCAAAGCCCGCCTAGCGGGTCTGAGGAGGCAACCGAGGCCACAAACCAGTTTCCGTATCCCCGCGACACCCACTTGAGGTGCGGAGCTGCCGACCAATCACAGCCAGGAGCAGCCCGTGGCTGAGGGGCCGTCCCGTCCATCCTTCCGCCCTCCCGCCTGCGCACAGCGCCACCCGACCGGTAGGAGGCGGTCTCGACCAGACGAGGTGTTGAGTGCCTCGCCGCGTCTCGCTCTCGATCTCCACAGCCTTCTCCACCGCCGCCGTCATGGTAGAAGCCGACCGTCCGGGCAAGCTCTTCATCGGAGGTCTCAACCTCGAAACCGACGAGAAAGCCCTGGAGGCGGCGTTCGGCAAGTATGGCCGCATCATCGAGGTGCTCCTGATGAAGGACCGGGAAACCTCCAAGTCCAGAGGCTTCGCGTTCGTCACCTTCGAGAACCCCGCGGACGCCAAGGCCGCCGCCCGAGACATGAATGGCAAGTCCCTGGATGGTAAGGCCATCAAGGTGGCCCAGGCCACCAAGCCTGTGTTCGAGAGCGGCCGGCGCGGGCCCCCGCCTCCCCGCAGCCGCGGCCGTCCGAGGGGCCTGCGCGGCACCCGCGGCGGAGGCCCGCGGCGCCCTCCCTCCCGGGGCGGGTCGGCCGACGAAGGCGGCTACGCGGGGGATTTCGACCTGCGGCCTTCGCGGGCCCCGATGCCGCTGAAGCGAGGGCCACCGCCGCGCCGGGCCGGGCCTCCGCCCAAGAGAGCGGCGCCGTCGGGCCCGGCGCGCAGCAGCGCGGGAATCCGCGGGCGGGCCGCGGGCTCGCGGGGGCGAGACGGCTACGGGGGCCCTCCGCGCCGGGAGCTGCCGCCGCCGCGCCGCGATCCGTACCTGGGCCCGCGCGACGAGGGCTATTCGCCCCGGGAGAGCTACTCGAGCCGCGACTACCCGAGCGCCCGGGACCCGCGCGACTTCGCGCCCTCGCCGCGCGACTACACCTACCGCGACTACGGCCACTCGAGCGCGCGCGACGAGTGCCCTTCCAGGGGCTACTGCGAGCGCGACGGCTACGGGGGCCGCGAGCGCGACTACGGCGAGCACCCTAGCGGAGCCTCCTACCGAGACCCCTTCGACAGCTACGGGGACCCGCGCGGCGCCCCTGCCCGAGGCCCGCCGCCATCTTACGGGGGAGGCCGCTACGAAGAGTACCGCGGCTGCTCGCCCGACGGCTACGGCGGCCGCGACAGCTACCGCAGCGAGCGCTACTCGAGTGGCCGCGAGCGCGTGGGCAGGCCGGAGCGCGGGCTGCCGCCGTCTGTGGAACGAAGCTGCCCGACTCCGCGCGACTCCTACAGCCGCTCGGGCCGCCGGGCGCCCCCCAGGGGCGGAGGCCGAGTGGGAAGCCGCCTGGAGCGAGGGGGAGGACGGAGCAGGTACTGAGCCTGCTAGGCTCAGGACTCATGATGGCCCAAGTCATGAAAAGAAGAATCAGTTTCCTGGTAACTCACCCAAGGACTAGTACTAAGAAGAGTTGTTTTTCTTATTTTTACCGTTTTAAGATTTTTTTTTCTCCCCCTGTTAACTTCCACTGCATTTTTATGCCTTTGAGAGGAAAAAAAAAGTTAAAACTCGTTTAATTGCATTTTGGAATTGTTAAACGTTTCAACAAGCTCCTGTTAAAAGTATGACTTGAACCTGAGTAGTAGTCTTCCTTGTCGTTCAAACGTGGTTCATAAAGGCTTCTTCCCTTCCAAATTTGCCTGATAAATGAGGCAGGCGGTTCTAAGGTGTTTTCACAGAAATCTTAACCCACACCTAAAGTGGAAAAAGCATCATGCTGCCCCTTCAGACCAAACTGGGGTTTGGGGAGAAAGAGTTGGGGGGAATTGGTGTTTGCTACTGGATTTCAAAGTGTCTTTCAAACTGAATCTCTGTTTCCAGTACTAAAAGCCAACCAAACAGCAACCAAACCCACTTAGACCAGATGCTGTGTAAAGAAGGTGCCATTCGCTCAATGCTCAATGAGTCTAAAGCAAATGGATGCTGACCTTTATTTTAACTCTTGACTGTTTTGCGGATTTTGCCTTTTCTTTGGGGATCTGCAGAATCTCCTGTCTCCTCACTCCCCAAAATACCATTTACATGATTGGAACATCGATGGAATACTAAATTAAAAATTTGGCCAACCAACCACAAAGCTGAAAAAAACAAAACAAACAAACAAACAAAAAACCCAAACCATCTATTGATAGCATTTATTTTTACCATTAATTAACAAATTATTAAGAAAGAAGTGTGCCAATGGTGGATTTGGGAATCATAATGACTTCCATTCCTAACTCTGAGATAAATACTGGTTCAGGTGAAGAAAATTGGGCTTCTTCCCCTGGGGTGAAGTTTCTCAGGAACAAAGGTCAGAAAATCCCTGAAAGATTGTATTTCAACATCTGAGAATCTCAAATGCTTTCAAGGGGCAGGGTCAACTGTCTGAAAAAAAGCAAAGGGTTTGTTGAGTGTTCCCCAAGGAAAAGGGGGGTTTGGGCAGAGAAAGACCAGAGAGGCTTCTTTCAAGATACTTCAGGAGAGACATAAGTCTCCTCTTTTCACCCTAAATTTAGGTCAAGAAATACCCGTGGAATTCCCCTGCTTATGAGAGAGAAAAAAAAAGTATAGAACTTATTTTCAGTGTAATATTGCTCGAGGAAGCAGACGGACACCTGAACAACAACAACAAAAGTCTTTTGAGTTCTGAGTGCAACACACACAATCCTAGAGCATTGTTGTTTTTTGTTTTTTGTTTTTTGTTTTTTTTTTGACAATGTAGTATATGATTTAAAGGATATGCCATAGAGTGGCCCAGAAGATGAAATACAGCAAATAGAATTTTAAATCCAGGAATTATTGTAGCAAAACTACCTGAGATCTTTATGGGGGAAAGTTATTTATTAAAGAACAAAAGAAGAACTAAACAAATGGAAAATCATGTTTGCTAATGATTGAGAAGACTTACCATAACTTCTCAATTTTGCCAAATTAATTTGAAAAAGCATTACTTCAACTGAAGTTACAACATATTTTTCTCATAGCTCCCCTCCCCTCCTTAATAACACCATTTATTGTTGATCAGTGATGCAATATTAATATTTGGTAAGCCAAACCCAAAACAAAACAGTAGCTTTATTTCATCAACAAATTATGAAGGAACTTTTTAAAGATAATGGAAGATATAGCTAATAATAAAATTTACATGATGGAATAAAGAGCAAGAAGATCCAAAACAGTATTGAGAAAAAGTATTAGGAGATATCAAGAATTAGCAGATATCAAGATTTATTACAAAGCCCTAACAGTCTAAGCTGTATATTATCAACAGACAAGAATAGACCAGTAGACCAAAATCATGAGCCTAGGAACAGTCCCATTCACAGATACAAGCACTATTTTGTGATAGAAGTAGCTTTAAAAGTCAATGGTGAAAGGATGGACAGTTTAAAAGGACTTGATTTGCAAATGATAAAGTCAGATTATTTAAATCACACCATACACAGAAATAATGTAATAGATGGTTTGAAAACAATTCTGAAGAGGAAAATTGAAACAGAACTAAATGCATTCACCATAGGTGGGTAGAGAATTGTTTTTAAAAACAAAGTACAAACCTACAAGAAAAATGTTGATATAATTTCCACACTATTAAAATATCCTGTGATAAAAGGTACCATTAACAGTGAAATGTCAAATTGGAAGCATCTTTTATAGTGAAATAACTTCCAAAAGAATGCTTTGCAAATCACTTTTTAAAAGATGACAAGGAGTAAATGAGCAAAAGGACTCATACTTTCCTGGTAGGCATAGAACAGACGCTTTGGAAGTAAATTGACAGTGCCTAGTAAAGCTGAAAGGTGTGTACCTCATGATCCAGAAATTTCAAGAAAAGACCCTAGAAAATGCACAAGTACACAAGGAGTTGTGCACAAAACTGGTTAGAGCCCTCTTGCATGTTTAAAGGGTGTAAACAGCTTATCGGGAATGGTTCAACAGAGGCTGAAGGTCCACTCAAACTAAGGTGACTTGACAGATCCACAGGATCAACATGGGTAAGTATAAAGTATGTGGTAGAAGGGGGGTATTGCATGAATATACAAAAAACTTAGAAAGTGTTATTTGAGTGATAACAACAAGTAGGGATATTTAGTGCGAGGAGATGGAATGGGAAGTAAGTTTTAGTTGAATCTTATGTTCTATGCTTTTTTCTTCTTTTTTTTTTTTTTTTTAGTTGAGTCCACCCTAGTTTATATAGTGACACTTTGTCTCAAAACTAAATTTTTAAGAATTAAAATATGTGGGGAGGTGGAGAGGATCTGGAATAAGTTGGGACTGGAGATCATGTTCAGAATATAGTATATGGAAAACTTATTTTTTCCAATTTAAAAGAAAAATCTGCTGGGCAGTGGTGGCACATGCACTTGGGAAACAAAGGCTGAGGCAGGCAGACTTCAGTCTGAGGACAGCCTGGTCTATAGAGTGAACTCCAGGTCAGGCCAGGACTATACAGAAATTTAAAAGTTCAAAATTAAAAAAAAAAATAATTTCTGTGGTTTGTACATTACCACACAAGTTTAAAACATTTCACAGTAGAAATTTTAATATGAAAATTAGAGGTTTGCACAGTACATGGTTATAACCAAACGATAAAATGAAACACATTTTTGCAGCGATTTTCATTTGTTCTCATAGTAGAGATGATGACATTTGACTAAGTTGCTAGACCCTATCTTGGCTGGCTTATAGTTTATCACAATCTAGAGTATAATTTGCTTGTCTAAATTCCACATTGACTAAGTTGCTAGACCCTTCCTATCTTGGCTGGCTTACAGATAGTTTATCACAATCTAGAGTATAATTTGCTTGTCTAAATTCCACATCTTAGGAAGTTGCAGGTTAGGGCTCACTTTTGAGACAGTGTCTTAGATCCTAAAGTTATGATAAGTTCACTATCAGCCAAGGAAAACCTTGAATTCCTTTTCCCTCTGTCACTGTCTACTAGGTACTTAGACTACAGGCATTTCTCCCCAGGCTAGGTCCAGACTTATTCTGGAAGCAATGAAAAACTTATGCAATTAACAAATTAATGAATAGTAATCTTAATGTTGAAGGCATTTAAAACTGGCTAGGGCCCCTGTAATGTTTCTTTAAATACATGACTTTCTTTTAAATTGCACCTTCCTTTTAGCTTCTATTTTAAAAAACAATGTGATTTTCATTTTCTTAAAATACTCCTTTTCAGGGACAATAATTGCTGTCATGTTTTCCTCCTTGGGGCAGAATGTAGAAGTCACCAAGTAGAATCAGTCTGTATTGCACGTTCTCTGTAAGGTTAAAAAAAAGAAATCTTTTTAGAATTTGACTGTTGTATATGCAGTGATATTGATTCTAAAGATAATTTCTGTCCCAGGATAGCCCTTCTAAGAATAAATTTTAAAAGATCCAGCACAAAACTTCAACTCCATTGAGCTGAAGAGACCTGTTGGGAATTTTTTGGGGGGCAGCACAGGGGAGCAACAGTACAGATTCCTGTTTTCCCTGGAGGCCACTTGCTTAGTGGAGACAACATTTGCTCACAAGTGCTACCCTCAGTTTAGAATTTTCCCCCTACCATCAGCATTCAATATTGGGAACACACTAATATAGCTCTGAGCAACTGTGGTTGAAACAGTAGAATGAGTCATAAACTGCCTTAAAAAAATGGGCCTAACAATTTTCCTACTAAAGGCCAATCTGCTGGAGATTCATTCTGAAAAAGTAATCCTTAGCCAGGCAATGAAACATGTTTTGAACAAAATATCAATTGGGCTTTTGAGCTAGGGTCTCATGTGGTCTAGGCAAGCCTTAGACTCTGCTTTGTATCTAAAAATGATAATTGAGCTCCAGAGCTGCTTGATTCTTCCTTCCAAATGGCAGAATTGTGGCCATGTATCACCACCCACTGTTTTGTGCAGTGCTGGAGATTGAAGGCAGGGCTTTGTGCATGCTGAGCTGGTACCGTACCAACTGAGTTAGCATATCCAGCCATTACTTAATATATCAAAAGGATATATGTATATGTATATATGCATACAAATTTAGTTATGTTATAGTTAACTGTGAGGTAATAGCAATAAAAGATTGGCACAGAATGCTGGAAATATACAACCTTAAAGAAGTAATAACTGAAATAAGATGTAAAGATGAGGGCCCAGGTTGCTGTGAGAATTGAGAATAAATTTTAAATGTAGCACATAGGAAGTTTTCTTACTACTTTTCTCTAGCTCTGACGAGAATAATTTTGCTGAGATCTTAGAGATGAAGCTAAAAGGAATGCATATGAATCACTAAGTAATTAATTTAAGGACATACCTTGAGATTGATTACCAGGAAGACAAGTGAGGAATGTCAAAATATGTAAGTCAACAAATGAAGGTCACTAAGG